AAGAAGCACTCAATGCACTTCTGTGACCTTGAAGATGGAAGGAGTCATGTGCAAAGACCAGAGAACAGCCTCTAGAAGCTGAGTTGACTCCTAGCCAATGGCCCGCAAGGAAACAACTGAATTCTGCTATCAATCTGAATGAGCTTGAAAATGGATTCTTCCAGGGACCTCCCTGGTGGTCTAGTAGTTAGGACTCGCTTTCACAGTTGTGGCCTGGCCTCAATGCTACAAATGACCATTCATTCACCTTAGCTGTCATCCAAAGCTACCCCACTGCTGTGTCACAGTTATCTGATGACCAGGCCAAAATTTAATCAGCAAAAGTGGTTGGAAAAAAGTTTTCCTCATGCTCTCCACTCCTAGAGATCAATTCATTTTTATATAGCCCCAAGTACTTGCACCAATACTGAAAAAGTCCAGTAGTTTTCACTCAAGTTCACAGAAGCCGTAGAAAATCTATGTTAACTCCTAGGAATATTTAGAATATTCCATGAAATTATCATGGTATTCGGGTATTCTGACTTGCTTTCAAGCTGGATCAGATTGATCAAGAGTCATGAATTTGATTAAGATTCTCTATGGAGTTTGGGGTTGGTCTACACAACCGAACACTGATGGCAGATAACCATGGTGCATCAAATTATCTGTACCTGTACTTCTGTCACTTAATCTAACAAGCAGAACCGCCACCTTCCCGTCCAAGTCTACCTCTTGCAGAAGGGCTTCCTTAAAAATGTGAATTAAAAAATGGCTATTCTGATTGAGGAAATACAACTGCATGGTAAATGTGCTAACAGCCTATGTCAAAGGGTTTAGCAGCCCGTCTGACTCTTGAGTCACACACAGACTGTCACTCCAACTAATGTCACTAAAATCCCTAACAAAAAAATATCGTGCTCATAATCCAAGACGGATGGCATCATATATTGAGAAAGTTATCTTGGATGACTACCTATGAACCATTCTAAATTTGCTTCAGGCCACATGGTGGATCCTCTGATTAGTAGCTGATATGCTTACTATTAAGACCGCAAGTTCATTAGGAAACATGGTACAACATGAAGTGTCCTAACTGAGGGAACAGAATAGAATTCACATCTTGGTTATCATTTATTAACCATGTCAGCTCACCTCTATGAACCTGTTCCCTCATTATAACTTCAACTTCATAAGACTGCTTGGAGGATAAAGTGACATAACTGAAGTAAAAGAACTCTGATAACCCAAAAACTAGGCCAAAAGTGCTGTGGTGCTTCCCAGCATGTGGTAACCCAACAGGACATGATGTGAGTCAAATGAAGTGAATTAATAAGCACATCTTTAAGGAAGGGAAAGCCCTTTAAGGTGATTATAATCTTCCTCTGAATCACAGTCAGTAAAAAATCCAATGTCTCTCTGAAGCCGAATACATAAAAATCGCTGAAGATAGGTCTCTAGAGTTCCAAGCCTGAAAAGGTAAGATTTGGGGGCCTAGGGTTTTCTGGTGAGAGTGAGTTTGAGCCCAGAATCTTGATGACTAGAACAGGACAAGGCAGATAGAGTCTACAAGGTCAGAACAAAGGCAGCAACTAAAGTAAGGCTCAGAGTTAAGCCTCTGAAACTCACATACTCAGAGAATTAACAAACTTCAAAAACAGAGTTTTTATTTGGCAAAATCAGCAAATAAACTGGCAATCCTGACAAAGAGTCAGTCATTTCAATCTAACATTTTACTTAGTAAGTAAACATTTGTAGAAAATCTATAAATAGTATAAACAATTTTCTCAAAATGCTAAAAGGCCAAACACAATAGATTACATAGTCTATGTTTTCATTTATATGAAATTCTAAAAATGCAAAACTAATGATACAAAACAAATCATTATTTGCCAATGGCAAAGGTGGGAGGATACCACTGACGCAAATGGACACATGAATTTCAGGGGATGAAAGAAATGTTCTATATAATGTTTATGGCTGTAGACAGACACCTATATATACATCTTCAAAACTCACTGAATTCTACACTGAAAACTGGAGAACGTTACTCTGTGAAAAAATATACCTCAAAAAAATTTTTACAGGTTACACATAAGTCAGCATGCTTTTCAAAGAATAATTCCAGTAAAATATTTTATTTAGTATACACTTATTTGTAGAAAATCTGGAAATAATATATAAAAATTTTTTCACAATCATAAGCAGTGGTTACTTTTTTTTTTTTTACATTTTTTGGGGAGGGAACTTTTTTTTTACTTTTATTTTCTAATTTAAATTTTATATTGGGGTATAGTGGGTTTACAGTGTTGTCAGTCTCAGGTGTACAGCAAAGTGAGTCAATTATACACAAACATACATCCACTTTTTCAGGTTCTTCTCCCATATAGGTTATTATAGAACACTTAGTTCCCTGTACTATGCAGTAGGTCTTTTCTGATGATCTATTTGTGTATCTGTTAATCCTAAACTCCTAATTTATTCCTCCCCCCTCTCAGCCTTTCTCCTTTGCTAACCATATATTTGTTTTCAAAGACTATAAGTCTGTTTCTGTTTTGTAAATAAATTCATTTGTATCAACTTTTTAGTTTTTCACATAAGTGGTATCATATGCTATTTGTCTTTCTCTGACTTATTTCACTTAGTATGATAATCTCTAGGTCCATCCACATTGCTGCAAATGGTATTATTTCTTTTTTTAATGGCTAACAGTTCACTGTACATATCACATCTTCTTTATCCATTCCTCTCAATGGACATTTTGGCTGCTTCATATTTTGTCTGCTGTGACTAGTGCTGCAATGAACACAGGGGTGCACATATCTTTTCAAACTATAGTTTTCTCTGGATATGAGCCCAGGAGTGGGACTGCTGGATCATACGGCAGATTTTGGTTTTTTAAGGAATGTCCATACTACTCTCCACAGTGGTTGTACCAATTTATATTCCCAACACTGCAGGAGGGTTCCCTTTTCTCCACACCCTCTTCTATTGTTTGTAGATTTTTGATGATGGTCATTCTGACCAGTGTGGGATGATACCTCATTTCTCTAAAAATTAGCAATGCTGAGCATCTTTACGTGTGTTTTTTGGCCATCTGTATGTATTTTTTTGGAGAAATGCCTATTTAGATCTGCCCTTTTTTTTTTTTAAACTGGGTTATTTTTGTTTTTTTTTTACATTGAGCTGCAAGAGCTATTTGTATTATTTTGGAGATTAATCTTTGTTGGTCACCTCATTTGCAAATATTAATATATTCTTCCATTCTGTGAGTTGTTTTTTCACTTTGCTTATGGTTGCCTTTACTGTGCAAAAGCTTTTAAGCTTAACTGGGTCCCATTTCTGTATTTTTGGTTTTATTTTCATTGGTCTATGAGGTAGATCCAAAAAGATATTGCTGCAATTTATGTCAAAGACTGTTCTGCCTATGTTTTCCTATAAGAGTTTTATAGTATCTGGTCTTACATTTAGGCCTTTAATCCATTTTGAGTTTACTTTTGTGTACAGTGTTAGAGAATATTCTAAGTTCATTCTTTAATATATAGCTGTGTTCCCAGTGTCACTTACTGAAGAGCTGTCTTTTCTCCATTGTATATTCTTGCCTCCTTTATTGTAGATTAGCTAACCATAGGTGTGTGGGTTTCTATCTAGGCATTCTATCTTGTTCCATTGATCTATATTTCTGTTTCTGTTCCAGTACAATACTGCTTTGATTACTGTAGCTTTGTAATATAGTTTAAAGTCAGGGAGCCCAGTTTCTCCAACTCCATTTTTCTTTGACAGAATTGCTTTGGATATCCTGAGTTTTTCATGTTTCCATACAAATTTTAAAATTTTTGTTCCAGCTCTGTGAAAAATTCTATTGGTAATCTGTTAGGGATTGCACTGATTCTGTACATTGCCTTGGGTAGGATAGTAATTTTGGCAATATTGATCCTTCCAATCCAAGAACAGTGTGTCTTTCCATCTGTTTGTGTCATATTCCATTTCTTTCATCAGCATGTCACAGTTTTTAGAGTTTTTACTAGCTTTTTCCTGTAGCTGATTTCTAATCTCATAGTATTGTGGTTGGAAAATATGTTTGATGTGATTTCAACTTTTTAAAATTTACTGAGGTTTGTTTTGAGACCCAGCATGTGATCCACCCTACAGAATGCTCCAAGTGCACTAAAGAATGCGTACTCTGCCGCTTTCAGATGGAATAGTCTATAAATATCAACTAAGTCCAAGCAATGTTTACTCTCTAACATTGTAAGAATTTTTTTTTCCTTTTAGAGGAACAAGCAAAACTAAAAAGTACTTGAAAAGTGACCATGAATGCAATTTAAAACCCTCCAAAAAAAGTCTCATGAACTCAGTACAATGATGTGGTACTTGACAGGCCTTTGAATGTTTTCCAGAATGTAACACTAAACAAGAAGTTCTAAATTCAGGTTGTACAGGGGTGAAGTAGAACATATAACTGATTGGCATGGGGCAAGGTTACTGAAGTAACCTGGAGAGTACGTGGCCCTTCCCAAATGTTGGCATCACTGGGTCCCACAGACTGATGTCAGCAAAAAGTACAGACTACACAGCCAGACTGTCTAGCCAGAGCTTCTGATGATTAAATACTTAGTATGTGAAATTTCCTGATTTCCTGAAATTCTCTTATGATTCAAAATTTTTTTTACAACACCATGTGGGCTAAACAAAACACAACCATATGCAGAATTATGACTTCAGGTCCATAATGCATGCTTTCTGAACTTTTTCAATAACAAAGTCTTGCCTTCTTTCAAACTGCTTACCTCTTTTATTTGTAGAGTCCAGAATAATGTGGAATACTAGTGCACCTGAAGTAAAATTCATCTTGAAATTATATGACGGTCAGTCACTTCTAGTCACTTTGCTGAAAAACGAAGTTCTGTTTACATCTCTAAGCATATTCGTTGGTAAAAAAAAAAAAAAAGGGAAACACCAATCCGAATGAAAGGAGAAGGAATAAGGAAAAACCAAAGAAAAACACAATTTTAAGAGCCTAGTCAGCTTTTAGACTTCAGAGCAACAAAATAATCCATGTGTTGAAATTTGAGAACTTCATTGCCCCAACTAGTCCAACCTGGCTGTAAATTTCGAGCAAACAATTCCAAACATTCTCCCTCTGGCTTGATATAGTCTTTTAGAACCTCTGTCCAAAAAGAGAAAAGAAAAAAAAAAAAACCACAAAAATTATTATTAAGGAAGGAATCAACCTCCTTTAGTAGTTAAGAGGAGAAAAGCAGAGATGTTTCCTTAAAAAAGAAAAACAGCAAGTTAATTTCAAGGATTTCATCATAGACTTCACTATTCATAATTAGAAAGTCATTTGAAATAAGCACCCTTGAGATTCAGAACAATACCATCAGAACTTTCAATAGTCCTGATTTATCAGTTTTCATCTGTAGAGGAGAAATGAGGATTTTAACACCCACACCGGTGACTTTTCAGTTTTCCAATAATGCTGACATAGCTCCCGAGTACTAGCTTAATTTATTTTTTAATAAATGTAATCCATGCATGGACAAAAGTATATACGAATAATACAAAGACAATCCACTTTACAAACTAAAATTAATATCAGGGTAAGTCTCCACAAAAACATACTTTAGTGTTAAGAGTTGGACACACAGATAAATATTCAGAACATATACCTAACAAATAACTCTTACCTCCTCAACTATAATTTGGCAGTACTGAGAACATTTCTTCACTTCCAAATTACAGATACTTCTTTACCTAAAATTTCACTATATTATTTCCACAGTTAAACATTCCTTGTTCAATATATTCATAACTACTGAGCATTGTATTTTGTTGGGAAAATGGCATCTCATAGCTGTAATCTACACTAACAAGCTTTTTTTTAAGCACATGCTCATGTGAATGACAAATATTTAAATCGGTTTAACCTTGATCACGTTGCTGGTTAGCTATATATTTTTTGGAACAGGAACTTAGTATGAAATAACAATTTAAGTATGGAAAGTCATTAGAACAGGCAAAATATAGTTCCTAATGGCTTTATAGGATTGAGCTTCAAAGAAATCCATCAAATTCTCTTTAGGAATGATAAGGATTCCTTAGAAATACTTCATAGAGGTTAGATTTAAAAGGTAATATATGAAAAATTTTATATTTCATAAAGTTCTTTAGTTGCTTCCACAGCAAAATAATTGTTTGTCTAAAAACACTGATCCTATCTATCAAAGAATCAAAAGTATTCATTGCCTACAACTCAAACAAACTCAAATCTGGGCTTTGATAGCTTCTAGGAGATGCTGACGGAGAAGGCAATGGCAACCCACTCCAGTACTCTTGCCTGGAAAATCCCATGGACAGAGGAGCCTGGTAGGCTGCAGTCCATGGGGTCACTACGAGTCAGACACAACTGAGTGACTTCACTTTCACTTTTCACTTTCATGCTTTGGAGAAGGAAATGGCAACCCACTCCAGTGTTCTTGCCTGGAGAATCCCAGGGATGGGGGAGCCTGGTGGGCTGCCGTCTATGGGGTCGCACAGAATTGGACATGACTGAAGCGCCTTAGCACCAGTAGCAGCAGGAGATGCTGACATAAGACTTCTAGTCCTTTCATAAATATATAACTAAATGCTATTAACCTTGAGTTAGAAACATTTCCCCAGAGTCTTAAAGGACAATAAACTTTTATATCACTTTTCCATGTTTTGCCCCATGAATTCAATGCCTCACCAGCCTCAACTCACTTTTAAAGTGGTCTAACATTATACTGACCCACTCCAGTATTCTTGCCTGGAGAATCCCAGGGACAGAGGAGCCTGGTGGGCTGCCGTCTACGGGGTCGCACAGAGTCGGACACAACTGAAGCGACTTAGCAGCAGCAGCAACAACATTATACTAAAGTAAGGTTTTGTTTTCTTGTTTCTGCTTGTTTGTTCAGTTCTTCAGTACAAAGATGTTAATGACTCTACTTTGGCATTTTAAACTAGAATCCAAACTGGAATCAGCCAATCAAAACTGTTTACTATTTCTGAGCACCCATTATAAGCACTATGGAACTTAACAAAAGAAACAGATATCCATGTTTTCTAAGACTTCACAAACTAACAGAAAAAGATGGCCAGGTATTTGAAGTGAAAAAAATACATAAAACCTAAACCCATTTATCCTCTCCCACTTTATCAATGGAACACACTTTGGCATCACATTTTTCCTTTTTAGTTGCAAAACACAGAAAATCAAGGAGTAAAGTTTTTACAATGTTAACTACATATGTTTAATTTCAAAACAAAGCAAAAGAAACAAGGCAAATTAATGGAAATGTTTTATTCTTACTAATTTTAAATATCAATTTAAATGAAAATGTAAGATCTTAAAAGTTCTCATCACAGGAAAAAATATTATAATTATGTGTAGACTTATTGTGATCAGTGAAAATGTATATATACCTTGAATCATATGTTACACACCTGAAACTAATACGATGTTATATGGCATTTATATCCCAATTTTTAAAAGTAAATTCACATGTATAAATTTAAATATGACATATATATAAATAATTACATAACATCTGGCATTAGTAAAACATTCTTCTAACCAATGGAGAGGAAATTGTTCATATACAGCTAGTTCATTCCCCTTCTGCTTGGGAGCAAGAGGCGGCTGGGGGAAAAGTACTCAAATGTCAGTGCATAGAATCTCATCAAATTGTATTTAACTCTCCAGATACAAACTGTTAGTGAGTAAACCAGTGAAAAGAAGCATAAACTCCTCTAAGGAGCAATATGAAAAACAAAATTTTGATTCAAATACTTTTATTTCATTATATTCATACCTTAAATCTTTAAACTTAAAAGATTATAAATTTACATTAGGCTGAAAAGCCATAGCTATTGTTGGCTTATGTTTCAATCCACAGGAAGAAATTTCAAAACTTAGAAAGAGTAAATGTATCATTTTGAAATGGAATATGCTGCCAATTTGGTGTTTTTTAAATTTTGCAGTACAAATAACAAACTAAAACTTGTTTAAAAAAAACACCTTGGTGTTTTTAGAAGTTAAGGAGAAAACATTTCATTCTGTAAATTTGCAAAAAGCACTTTAAGAACATTTACATGTAAAAGTTTTAAGCATTACATAGAAAGCATGTATTATACCAAATCCTACAGTTATAATTTCAGAATAAAATATATTGCAGAAATCTGAAAGTTGCTTTCTGATGGCCTTATGTAGCTCTACATCCAAAACACAGACACTTACTATACAGAAACATGAACTCAAAAATAAAGGATTATAAATACTTCTTATCTACCAGTACTTAACCAAAACATAAGGATTACATATATTGAATCATGCAAAAATTTTCCCCTCAAAATCTAACTTTTCTTTTTAAATATTCTCAATCCTAAAAATGTGTTTGTGTTGCTCTCTACTGGGAACACAGAAGAACTGCACTTCATAAATACAAGCTATAAAATGTAGTGTTAATTTTCATTAATAGTAATAAAACACTAATTTTAATCACTATTTTATAAAACCTTGTATCTTAAGACTCATCTTTAAACATAATCTATATAAAATTAATTGAGAAATAGTTTATCATTTGGGAATGAAAGGTTTTTTGGGTCTGACATTTGGATTTTTCAAAGTAAAAAAAAAAAGTCCTAAAGCCAAACCTCTTATTAAACTTTGATACTCACCAAATGATAAAGAAAATTCAAATGAGAAGACTACAACTTAGATTTCCTCCACTGAGTATAACTGGTAGCAAACATAATTTTTTTCTCAAAGACAGTACAGACTTTCCATTTAAGTCAAATGTTTACTTGCATTAAAGAATCTATCACAGTCCAAAGTTTAAAGGCAATTACTCACTGAGAATCCCTCTAGGTCAAAAAATGGATCAACAGGTAGACATCTGAATATTTCTCAGATGAATTAACACTAAAGACTCTTCTGCATAAGCAATCTAAGATACGAGAAATCTGGAGTGCTACCGGTAAGTAAACATCCTTTTGGGAATGTGAATTCACCTTCCCATGTATCCTAGCTCATGAACTTTGAATGTCAAATTCAGTATTTCTCAAGGACTTATATTCCTTCCTATTTTTTTATTCTTTCAGTTGAAAAACTTAGCATTTACTGATCTCCTACTATATGTGATAGACTGTCAAATGCACCCAATCCTCACAACTCTGAAAGACTAAATATCATTATCCACTCTTCAAACGACAACTCTGAGGTGGAAAATTATCAGTAACTCGCTCAAGTAGCAAAGCCAGGATTCAAGGTCCTTTAGGTCAATCTGAAAAGCCAAAACTTTCCACTATTCCTTGCTGTTTAGTTTCATTAAATGATGAACATCATACTAAAACATTAAGACTAGTAAGAACTGCAGGATACAGCAACTACCTTTCCAACGGCTCAGAAGAGCAACACTACTCAACATAAAACTGAGACTGTCTACCATATCAAGGGAATTGTAAGCATCTCTCTGATGCTGCTGCTGCTGCTGCTAAGTCCCTTCAGTCTTGTCCGACTCTGTGCGACCCCAGAGACAGCAGCCCACCAGGCTCCCCCGTCCCTGGGATTCTCCAGGCAAGAACACTGGAGTGGGTTGCCATTTCCTTCTCCAATGCATGAAAGTGAAAAGGGAAAGTGAAGCCAGTGTGTCTGACTCTTAGTGACCCCATGAACTGCAGCCCACCAGGCTCCTCCATCCATGGAATTTTCCAGGCAAGAGCACTGGAGTGAGTTGCCATTGCCTTCTCCAAAGCATCTCTCTGACTGCTTTCTAAGCTCTGGGCTTTAGAACAAGCAAGGGGTGGAGCCCTGACAGTACAATAAAGCCCCCAGAACTACAGTCCTCAGAAGTACCACCAGTCTTCACTGGGTTGCGCCAATGAGCCCCATTAGTCAGGGGACCCTAAAACACAGTGGGAGAGGAAAGACTGCGGTAAGGTAAGACGACTCTATACTGTCCCCTGGGTGTTCCCACAGCTCCATCTCCGCTTCAACAGTTTGGACCTAACAGACCCTTTTTCCAGCCACCCTCCAGACTTCTTTCAGGTCACAACCTCCCCAAGACCATTCAGCACCATTTTTGCGGTGAGCTCCTTACTGCCGACCACGATGATGCGCTCCCAGACCCATGGGAATTATTCCACCCAGTGGAGGAAGTGGTCAGCCACTGGTGGGCGGGTCTCCAACACCCACCTCTCTGTGGGCTTTGATCCGAGGCCACGATGTACCCCTGGAGGGCTCCCGACCCCGCTCCTCCCATGCGCTGGCCCGGCAGCCTCTGAGGATGCAGGGCCAGCGCAGGGGCAGCGGCGGCATCCCCCGCTTTCCCGAGGCCCGAGCCGCCCCCAGACAAGTGGGACAAGCACTGGATGCCACCACGGGCCTGGAGAAGGCCCTGAACCAGACCGCTCTGGATCTGCACGCCCTGGGTTCTGCCCACATAGGTCCCCCATCTCTGTGCCTTCCTGAAGCGCCACCTCCTGGATGTGGTGGCCACCTGACCAACCTCTGCAGGCCAGCCAGGTTGGTACCTCCTGGGAAGGCTGACGCTCCCAGAGCACAAGAGGCCAGCGAACCCAGCTGCCCCTCGGACGCCAGGCTCCCCCACCTGATGTCAGGGCCTCTGGCCAAGCCCCTCCCTGGTTAACCATCTGGAGCCCTTTCCCCAAAGCCAGGGACCAAACGCAAACAATAAAAGGTTTCTGGAGCAAAAAAAGAAAAAAAAAAAACAAAAACAACCTATTCTCTATTGCACAAATTCTGCTATATGATTTTAGAATATTAATTAAAATAACACATATCTGATTGAATTTCCAAATCTCTAGACCATTCAAATGCAGTAATCAATCCTTTTGTCAATTTCACAGACGTCAGAACAATTCTACTTTACAAAAACATACCAGCGAGAGGTGGCTTATGGGAATGCAGCACGCAGGGCACACTGACAATTAACTTGTGGTCTGGAATGGGCAGCTCTTCCTCATCGGCATTCCTGCGGAAGCAGAACAACGTAACTGTATCTTAAAGGACAACTTATTACATTTAAGCCACAGTTGTCTTGATTTCTTTTCACCTTTCAAACAGCATCTTCCTTTATAATAAATTTAAGAAGAGAAATAATCATGGAAATCAACAATTTAAGTATTAAGAAATTTCAGATAGTTTCCTCTTCTACAATCATGACTATTACACATTAGATAAAGCAAATGATAATATACAATTTCATGTGCCATTAGCATTCACACTTTTCTTGTCGGGGCCATTTCCAGATTTTCAAAAATGTAAAAATTCAGGAAAACCAATGATTACTGTGTTAATTTTTGAAAGTCTGAAAATTAATATGTTTATACAACTTTGAAAAATCATCCTTCCTACCTTAACAGTGAAGCAGCTTTTTCTCGAACTCTTCCCAGTATAAGACCTTCATAAGGCTTTTTGTGTGGAGAATCTAATGGGAACACAAACTCTCCTGAACTGGTGATCTGACAAAAAGGAGACAGAAACAAAAACAACCCATACAAACGTAAATATCCAGGAAAAGAATTGGTTTTTTTTTTTCCTTCCAGTATACAGTTTCTACCAAAGAAAAAGAATTATTAAACCTCAAGGCTACTGCTATCCAATAAAAATATAACGTGAGCCACAGATGGAAGTCACCCATGTAATTTAAAATTTCTAGTATCAACATTTAAAAAAAGCAAGAAGAATGAGACAAAATTCATCTTAACTATACTTTAATTTTAAATTATTTTTAATTTAATCTAACATATCTAAAATATTATTTTAGTATGTAGCCAATTCAAAAAATTATTGAGGTATGTTACAGTCTTTCATATTAAGTATTTTAAACTCAAAAGACTTAGATGTGACATTTATCACCTCATCTCAGTGTGGACCAGTCACCTTTCAAGTGCTGAAGAGCTCCACGTAGCTGGTGACACACCACACCACACCACGGCGGGCAGGGCAGCATTACATGACTAAAGCATTATTTTAAATTTCTGTCATCTTGCATATAAAACTCTTGGTTTTTCATTAAAATATGTTACTAGAAACCATGCCATCATTTATTCATTTGTTCATTCAAATAACATTTACCTAGATTACTGGCAATGTGACTAAGTATATTACAATAAAGTATTTTCCTTTATTTATAGGAAACAGTGTCATTAAATACTGTCAAGAGTTAAAATTAATAATGAAAGTAGCTTGGGAACTGATGAGACAGACAATGAAAGTTCTAACCTCTTGGCATTATAAATCTGAAATTCAATCTCATCATTTCATCCTGCAGTGATTGATCAGACTCCCAGAGACTCACTCTGTAACTAATCAAACTCATAACACAATTTAAAACAATATTCAATTTGTTAATTAAGCATGGAGGCAGATATTTGCACTATCATAATATTCATATAGATCCTCTATGGAATCCTTTAGCCTATATCAAGGTACCTAAAAACCAAGCCAGTAAAGTCCTTTTATCACCTCTAGGGCCTGCAAATAGCAGCAGCTATTCCACACAGTGCTGTATAAACACTGGCAAATTCTGACGCTTTGGATTCCTTCATACTCAAGGCAGATTACTCCATTGATGTAACAATATATGCAAACACCTAGTAAGTATTTCATATGTTTACATATTTTACATATTTCATAAATAAGTAAAACATATTTTTGTTTTAAACTATCATACCACCTCTTAGAACTGATTACTACTAGAAATGAACAGTCTTAGTTTTCATGTATTAACATTTTACTGGTTTTAATTTCAGAAGGTAACCTTTTCCTGACTTTGGTCCCAGTTTCTGACTATGAAAGGACTGTCGTAACAGAGAGAGTAGAATGGAGTTTTACATGCCCGTAACAATCCTATAGCAAATCAACCAGAGCTAAGCCCAAAGTACACCTGTAAAAGCAAACAATTATAAGCACCTGTTTGCCAAGTGTCATAAAATAGGTACAAATAAACAATGCACAAAGCTTTCAGAAGATGCTCCAGTACACTACAAAGCACATTAAAAATAGCCCTCTCCTGTGTCTAAAATGAACAGACCAGTAACATAAATGTTAAACATTCAGTCCATAAAACCTGGTTTGTCTTTTTAAAATTTAGGATGGCTTTTGTGGAATTCATTTAAGTAGACAGTGTACCTTTAAAAGGATAGCCAATGAACTTTGAATGACATGTGACTTTTCTATATTTTTTGGTATTCTTGAAACCAAGCAAAGATTAATATTAAAGACCTTTCAACTCATCAAGGAGTTGGAATCATTTCTTTCAAAAACAAGCACTGAGGAACACAGTTAAGATTCACAGTATAAAAGGCCTTGCTGCCAGCATTTTCCCAACTCTTCCACACTAGGTTTCTTTGCTATTTTCCCTTCCATCCCCAGCAACATGGGGAGGGTGGCGGGTGGGAAATGACAAAGAAAAGAAAAAAGAAAAAGAAGTCACAAAGGGCAGCTGAAGTTTTGAATGAGTAAAGAGGAAGAAGATAAACAGTAAGACAATTTCTATGTTTAGTGATGGACAAATTCCCCCAAGGTTTTTGCTTACTGTCTCTTAAACTACAGACCATCAGAGCTTTTTAAAGTGTCATCCTGATATCCATCTGAGTGATTTCCTACGACCAGGAGTTTGGGGTTCTACTCCAAAAAGATACAGAACAAACGGGCAAAAAGCCTTGAGAATAAGAAGACAAAGGTATTTAGCAGCAAAGCAAATGTTTTAATTAGAGCATGTTGAAGAAGTAGAGTGATGCCATGGTAAACATTAAAAAGTAGGCGCTACCTTTATGTGACTTGTGCATTGCACCTTATGAATAAATAAAGTTAACAAATACGTTAACTTGGGGACTTACTTTTACCCAGTGCCATTCAGCAACTACCTCCACAGACCAAGATGGGTAAAGCTCTTCCTTGACAAAACGCAGGTGCTTCTGTCTATTTGTTACCCATGTAACAATGAGACAGCTTGGAGCAGCCAGCTTAGGGACAGGTATCTGCTTTATCTGCAGTGGTGATAAATAACTATATCTAAAAATAAACAGAAAAAAAATATTAGCAAAATTCACTGCAAAAGAGAAAAATAAGCAGGGAGAAGACCTGTATAACACTGATTCCACAAACACAAAGCTACAATTATTTATTTGTGTAACTAAATACAAAGCCACAGTGACACCCAGTGGACACATTGTTACAGGCAAGTTGGAAATACCACTTTTCATTTATACTAACTCAAAATGGCCAGGCCTAATTTCTTTATCACTTCTGAATGTATTACATTCCAGCAATTTTACTATTTTCTATATGCTTTTATATCATTTAAAATTAAGCAAATATAATCTTGTGATGACCTGTACACTATACATGTGCTTGTGAATTCGCTAAGTCGTGTCCAAATCTTTTGGGACCTGATGGACTGTAGCCCACCAGGCTCCCCTGTCCATGGGATTCTCCAGGCAAGAATACTGGAGTGGGTTGCCATGCCCTCCTCCAGGGGATCTTCCCAATCCAACCCAGGGATTGAACCCGTGTCTCTTACATCTCCTGCATTGGCAGGCAGGTTCTTTACCACTAGCGCAATCTGGGAAGCCCAGAGACCCCGTTAACAGTCTGGAAACTGTCTCAATATCCCACCACATTTCCAACACTCAATCTATCATCCTGCTTCTTTCATCCTTCAGTCAATTCTACTGGGCTCTCTGAAACACTCATGCTTTCATTACAAAAAAATTCTACAGCCCCGAACCTCCTGGCCATCAGTAGTACAAAGCCTAGTTTCTCTTGTTAGAACTCTACTTGTTCCATAACACCCCATCAAACCAATGTGGTCATTTTTCCAATCCCAACATACACAGCCATGAGAGGAGAGGTCGGTATTCTCCTGGATCCCCTCCAGTTCCAGGCTGTCAGTCATCTACCTTTGTGTGAAACCCCCTTCTCTTTGAGAGTTATGCTATCTAGCCTCCAGCCTTCTTATGGAACCCATTACATCCTCACTCTCCATACTCAATGAAGACTTAAGTTCTAAGATCTTTATGCCTAGCCAACGTAAATCTTGCCAGTATCCTAGGTGATGTCAAAGGACAATCTAAATAATGTACACGCTCAACTATTCTTCCCCTAGATAAATACAATTGTATGCACTATGATCACCATCCCCTTACTCCTTCACTCTACAACTCCTGCAAACCTCCAATCTTCAATTCAATTCAACACAATTCTATTCAACTTCATATAGAAAAAAATCAGATGGAGAAAAATGCTAAACTGAAAATTGGCAATCCATTCTCAGGCTCTCAAAACTACTCATCAATATTTTACTTACCCTTGGTCAACTACTACAAACTCTCATCTCTTCTTAAGTCCTTTGCCCAAACACACCCTTGGCAGATGAAATATGCCAAATATCAGTCAAAATAAAGGTCTTCAGACTCCTTCAACCACCTAACCCTCTGCCAGGTGTATGATGAGAGTGTATAATAACCCTCAACAGCATGGTTTCATGTGTTTAAAGCTTATCCCTAGAGCTGTGTTCTTTTATTCCCATCTTCTAGTCTATCAGTAATGCTAAGTACTCTCCTCCTTCTGTATTTTCAACCTGTCTAGTAGTTTCTTACCATCAGCCTATAAATATGCTTATACTATACAGTTTTACTTTTTATTTTCTTTTTCATTATTGTTTTTCTACATACTATACACTTTTAAAGGAAGAAAGAGGAGAAAACACTGGGGGGGGGGATGGGTGGAGAAGAGGGAAAAAGAAAAGAGGAGAAGAGAAAAATAACAGAAAAGAAAAGAGAAATGCCCTCAGTTAGGTCTCCTATCTACAGATAAGCTAGTTCAGTCCAGTTGCTCAGTCGTGTCCGACTCTTTGTGACCCCGAGAATCGCAGCATGCCAGGCCTCCCTGTCCATCCCCAACTCCCGGAGTTTACTGAATGTCATGTCCATTGAGTTGGTGATGACATCCCACCATCTCATCCTCTGTTGTCCCCTTCTCCTCCTGCCCCCGATCCCTCCCAGCATCAGGGTCTTTTCCAATGAGTCAGCTCTTCGCATCAGGTGGCCAAAGTATTGGAGTTTCAGCTTCAGCATCAGTCCTTCCAATGAATATTCAGGACTCATTTCCTTTAGGATGGACTGGTTGGATCTCCGTGCAGTCCAAGGGATTCTCAAGAGTCTTCTCCAACACCACAGTTCAAAAGCACCAATTCTTCAGTGCTCAGCTTTCTTCACAGTCCAACTCTCACATCCATACATGACTGCTGGAAAAATCATAGCCTTGACCAGACGGACTTTTGTTGGCAAAGTAATGTCTCTGCTTTTTAATATGCTATCTGGGCTGGTCATAACTTTCCATCCAAGGAGTGAGAATCTTTTAATTTCATGGCTGCAATCACCATCTGCAGTGATTTTGGAACCCAGAAAAATAGTCAGCCCGTTTCCACTGTTTCCCCATCTATTTCCTATGAAGTGATGGGATCAGATGCCATGATCTTAATTTTCTGAATGTTGAGCTTTAAGCCAACTTTTTCACTTTCTTCTTTCACTTTCATCAAGAGGCTCTTTAGTTCTTCTTCACTTTCTGCCATAAGGGTGGTGACATCTGCATATCTGAGGTTATTGATATTTCTCCCAGCAATCTTGATTCCAGCTTGTGCTTCATTCAGCCCAGGGTTTCTCATTAATATAGTCTGCATATAAGTTAAATAAGCCGGGTGACAATATACAGCCTTGATGTACTCCTTTTCCTATTTGGAACCAGTCTGTTGTTCCATGTCCAGTTCTAACCGTTGCTTCCTGACCTGAATACAGGATTCTCAAGAGGCAGTTCAGGTGGTCTGGTATTCCCTCCTCTTTAAGAATTATCCACACTTTACTGTGGTCCACACAAAGGCTTTGGCATAGTCAATAAAGCAGAAACAGATGTTTTTCTGGAACTCTCTTGCTTTTTCGATGATCCAGCAAATGTTGCCAATTTGATCTCTGGTTCCTCTGCCTTTTCTAAAACCAGCTTGAACATCTGGAAGTTCACAGTTCACGTATTGCTGAAGCCTGGCTTGGAGAATTTTGAGGATTACTTTGCTAGCGTGTGAGATGAGTGCAATTGTGCAGTAGTTTGAACATTCTTTGGCATTGCCTTTCTTGGGGAATGGAATGAAAACTGACCTTTTCCAGTCCCGTGGCCACTGCTGAGTTTTCCAAATGTGCTGGAATATTGAGTATAGCACTTTCATAGCATCATCTCTTAGGATATGAAATAGCTCAACTGGAATTCCATCACCTCCACTAGCTTTGTTCGTAGTGATGCTTCCTAAGGCCCACTTGACTTCACATTCCAGGATGTCTGGCTCTAGGTGAGTGATCACACCATCATAATTATCTGCATCATGAAGATCTTTTTTGTACAGTTCTTCTGTGTATTCTTGCCAACTCTTCTTAATATCTTCTGCTTCTGTTAGGTCCAAACCATTTCTGTACTTTATTGAGCCCATCTTTGTATGAAGTGTTCTCTTGGTATCTCTAATTTTCTTGACGAGATCTCTAGTCTTTCCCATTCTATTATTTTCCTCTATTTCTTTGCACTGATCACTGAGAAGGCTTTCTTATCTCTCCTTGCTATTCTTTGGAACTCTGCATTTAAATGGGTGTATCTTTCCTTTTCTCCTTTGCTTTTCGCTTCTCTTCTTTTCACAGCTACTTGTAAGGCCTCCTCAGAGAGCCATTTTGCTTTGTTGCATTTCTTTTTCTTTGGAATGGTTTTGATCCCTTTCTCCTGTACAATGTCACGAACCTCCATCCATAGTTCATCAGGCACTCTGTGTAGCAGATCTAGTCCCTTAAATCTATTTCTCACTTCCACTATATAATCATAAGGGATTTGATTTAGGTCATACCTGAATGCATGGCGCTGGAGCAGCGAGCAGCTGAAAGGAGACACCCCTGCTATTTACCTGGGGCCAAACTATGGTGGAGGTAATGAAGAGAATGGCGACCTCCTTCAAAAGATCCCACGCATGCACTGCTACACTCAGTGCCCCCAACCCTGCAGCAGGCCACCGCCGACCCACGCCTCCACTGGAGATTCCTGGACACTCACAAGCAAGTCTGGGTCAGTCTCCTGTGGGATCATTGCTCCTTTCTCCTGGGTCCTGGTGCACAAGGTTCTGTTTGTGCCCTCCAAGAGTCTATTTCCCAGTCCTGTGTAAGTTCTGGCAGCTCTATGGCGGGGTTAATGGCGACCTCCTCCAAGAGGGCTTATGCCATACCCAGGTCTGCCGCACCCAGAGCCCCTGTCCCTGCGGCAGTCCACTGCTGACCCGTACCTCCACAGGAGATGCTCAAACACAGTTCTGTCTCAGTCTCTGTGGGGTCTCTGGGTCCTGGTGCACACAAGGTTTGTTTATGCCCTCTGAGCGTCTCTGGCAAGAATGGGGTTTGATTCTAAACATGAATTCACCCCTTCTACAGTCTTGCTGGGACTTCTCCTTTGCCCTTGGACGTGGGGTATCTCCTCACAGCCAGTCCAGCAAAGCACAGCTGCTGCTCCTGACCTTGGACGTGGGGGATCTCCTCACGGCCGCTAGCTGTGATATGCTATGGACTGGCCTATCCACGTAATGCATAGTAATCTCCTTTCCTTGGCAGCCTTAATTGCATTTGGAATTTTATTTTCTCTTTGCCATGTATCCTAACATACTCATAAATTCCAGAGATTAAGATAAGGACATGGAAGGGAGTGTGGAACAGGGGTAGGGGGTGGGGAGGGAAAGAACACTATTTCACCTATCACAGGTGGTAAAACTGGGAACAATGCATATATCACAGTAACTCCCTGTATGATTGTTATTAATAAAAGAAAACTAGAAAATTGAAAAGGAAACTTAATTACCTATTTTGATTACTGCACTATGATTATATAAGAAAATATCTTTGTTTTCAAGAAATACAGAATAGATATTTCAGAGTAACTTACTCTTTCTCCTAAATAACTTATTCTCAAACTGTTCATAAAAAAATTATATATATATACAGATATCTACCCACACACACACAAATACACACATATAGAGAATAGATAAATGAATTCTTTGTATGGTCCTTGCAACTTTTAAGAGGGAAAAATCCAATTATTGGTACAGCTCATAAACAAAAAAAATAAGGAAACTGAAGATAACTGTGGAGAAGAAGAAATTTCACATGAAGTTTAAGTCAAGGTAACAGAAATTGTTCAGTCTAGAAGACTGAAGAGTGAGACAAAATATAACCGAAGATATTCACCGGAACTATAGGGAAATTTTTAGTTTTTTGAAAAGCTATTTAACTTCGTCTTATTTACTAACTGAACTTGTCACTCTAAAAGGTTACATAAACTGAACAGTGGCATAAATTAAAACAAATTTCAGAATGAATTAGACAATTTCATTCATAGAAGATTACTAAGGAATGCTATATTTTGGCACATATTTCAAAACTTTAGAATTTGATATCAAAGAAGGCAAAGTGAAAGGTGAAGTTGCTCAGTCGTGTCCGACTCTTTGCAACCCCATGGACTGTAGCCTACGAGGCTCCTCCGTCCATGAAATTTTCCAGGCAAGAGTACTAGAGTGGGTTGCCATTTCCTTCTCCAAGAGATCTTCCCGACCTAGGGATCGAACCCAAGTCTCCCGCATTGCAGGCAGAAGCTTTATCATCTGAGCCACCAGGGAAGCCCCAAAGAAGGCAAAAATGTTGTCTTTTGGTGTTATAGACACATTTCTGAACTAATTCAATCAGCAACCTTCATCTTTAGTAAAAATTACTTTCAACATTCTTTTTTTTACTTTTAACATTCTTATACCTATATATAGTTCTAGTTTAAGAGAATTATCTACTTAACCTATCCACTTAATGGAATTAAAATTTTAAAACTAAAGTGTTTTAGTTTTTCAGATACTTTGTACCATAAAGTAACACTTTCAGTTTATGTAACTATAATGTACAAACAACTATAGCTTTCAGAAAGCATATGTAACAGATACACTTACCTGTTACTTCTTTTAACTGATTTGTTCTGCCATGGTGGATCTATCACAATCACATCATATGTTTTCTTACCTGAAAACAAAGAAAGGATTTCAGAAAATACCTCCTACTTGTACCACTTTAAAAACTAAACATGTTCTTCAACAATGAAGTGCATTCACTACGGACATAAATATGCTGGCAAATATATTTAAATATGCTGGCAAAAAAAAGGATTTGTGGCATTTGTTCAAATAGAATAATTCATCCAAAAAAACTGAGATTCCCCTTATAATTTAGCACCTCTGGGATTTTACTGTAATTGCACCTGTTGCACTCTCCCTAAAAACTACAGCTCCCTTAGCTAGACATTGTGCTGTCACTTCAGTAACGCCCAATCTATAAACTATGGACTATAGTCTGCCAGGCTCCTCTGTCCATAGGATTCTCCAGGCAAGAATACTGAAATGGGCTGCCATGCCCTCCTCCAGAGGATCTTCCCAACCCAGGGATTTTCCCAACGCAGGGATCGAACCCTCATCTCTTCTGTCTGTTGCATTTGCAGGTGGGTTCTTTACCACTCGGAGAAGGAAATGGCAACCCACTCCAGTACTCTTGCCTGGAAAATCCCAGGCACAGAAGAGCCTGGTGGGCTACAGTCCATGGGGTTGCAAAGAGTCGGACATGACTGAGCGACTTCACTTCACTTCACTAGAGAACTTCACTAGCGACTTCACTTCACTTCCACTAGTGCCACCTGGGAAGCCCCTAGCTAGACATCGATGATTTGTAAATGCCCTATGTAAGTCTTGGCAGCCATATTAAAATGGTCCTTTCAAACACAGGATGGATGTGGGGTTTTTTGCGTTTTTTTTTTTCACTTTTTTACATGAAATAAAACTTCAATTTTTTAACTGATATACTGACCTTAATATTGATAAAATGTCCCCAACTGTCTATTAGTATCCTTTTCCCTGGTCCAGGATCCCCAACAAAGTCACATTTAATTGCTATGTCTCATAAATTTCTTCCAATGTGGAAAAGTTTCTCAGTTTTTATCTTTTTTGACCTTTGAAGACTACTACTGGCTGGTCATCAGCAGGAAGCACAGGGTGTCAGAATGTCTCATGGTTAGTGATACCACCTTGAGTCTTTTATTTGGTTAAAGTGCTGTCAGCCAGGTTTCTCCAGTTCTACCTCAGTAATTATTAACTATCTGGCAGGGACATACTTTAAGACTCTGCAAATATCCTGCATCTCATCTTTTCACCCACCATTTTGACACCCAAATACTATGCTATGTGTCAAATGGAAATTTCCTAATTACATCATTCCACCTACATTTATTAATTGGGATTTTACTATAAGGAAAAGCTGCCCCTTTCCCTTTTATACACAAAGGTATATTTTTGTAAGTGGACAATCTCATAAGTAATCAAAAGAATGCCAATTAAAATAAGGATGTAATGGTTTTTAAACGATTAGAGTAACAAAGATGAGAAAGAACGGGGAAAAAAATGTTCAAATATTGCATCATTTTCTCATTATTTTGTTACCTTGTCACTTACCCTGAAGAATTTTATGACACTGTGACATGAATAACCACTCATGTTTAAAATGGCTTGAAAGTAATTAAAAGAAGCTTTTCATTAATAAGCTGCTACTGTAATAACTTAAAATTTTGCTACAAAATGTACAAATAACAGTATATAGCAGATAAAATTCAATTTAATCACTATACCTCTTATGTCATCCCTTAGAATCTTATGATAGTTATAATTTATTGGGAACATATCACTGAGCTAAGCTTGTGGTGCAAATTATCTCAACTAATCCTCAAAATTACCCTCAGAAGTAGATATCATCATATCCATTTTATAGATTAGGAAACTGAGGCTCAGTTTTGTGAAGAGTCTGAAGACTCATAGTTAAGCTTCAGAAATCCATATTCAAATTTTCGTGTAGATAACTCTGAACATCAATACCTAAATTTTCAACTTTACACAGGAAAATACTTTTGAGAAACTTTAGATAATAAACTTGAAAATAGCTTAAAATGTAACCTAAAAGTCTAAGAATAGCTTGGGAATTAACATTCATATCTGAAGCATTTCTACTTTGCTATGAATAAAAGTTAAAATTACTTGGCCAAACACAATTGTATCCTGAATTCCTAAGTATAGAGCAGTAACTATATTTATTCTCTTGGGGACTAGTTAAGTTTTTGATACCTTGTTTGTAGTAAGATTTATTTTTTTAATTTTTAAAGCATAAGTCAGCACTTCAAAACTGAATTTAAAGTTTTAAATTTAAAAAAAAAATACAGAGAAAATTATTCACCCTATCACAAAATGCTGAAGCTCACTCAACATTCAGACTTGCTCTTGACTTTTGAGGCCACAGAAAAATTATCTAATAATAAACATAACTACTTACAGTTCAGAAGTGGGTGCATACAAGAAATGTCAGACAAAAGAAATCTGCTTTTTGGTGGCAGCAGGTATTTCTGTCCCATTAAAGTAATCATTTTTGTAAAGCTAGAAGTATTTTCAACAATCCGTGAAAATAAATCCTGCTCTGTAACAGACGCATCATCTTCCATCAACTGTAACGTCTGAAGTTCCACTTCATTCAGAGAAGGCAAATGCTTTGCCATTTCACACAATTCTGACAAATTACAGGTATCAAGTGGTAAAGTAATTGGCTCACTGCACTTGTTCCGTTTTTCAGAACATGAATGAAGAAAGCCACTTGAGAGACCTTCTTGGATTAACTGTGAGGATCCATCCAAAATCAGCCCCCTTATCTGTAAGAGAATTTAAGTATATTAAAACATCACTGACATTAAAACAATTTTCTAAATAATAAAGTTTCCTACTATGCTTTGAATATTTCAACTTATGGATTAAAGCCAACATTCTTAATGCTTACAATAAAATAATTTTATACTACAAGAAAAAGAAAGTGTGACTATACCTTTGAATGGCTATTTCCTAACTGTGGAATAATATAAATCTCATAAATTCACTGGAAACTAAATAACCAAGCAATATATATTTTTAAAAATCCTTAAAAATTTATAAGATGAATTTGATGATATTTCTAGAAGTGAAAATTCCAGTCTATAAAAAGAATTAAGTTTTAATCACATTTAATCTTAATTTTTCTAGTAATTTAATTTTAAAATAAACATATCTTTGATTTCATAAAAATACAGCTTGAATTGTTAAAGAAGAAAAAGTCAACTCTATAAAATGAATACAATTTTAAAAAGTTTTGCAACAACAGAACCAAAACAATTATAAAATTAAAAGCCCAGTACTGCTTCTGGATAAGATGGAGTACTTTTCATCTGAAATTACTTTTAAAAAGTTATTTTCAGAAAAAAGGCTTTCAGACCTTGGGTGGATGTCAAGCATTGCAGAATATTATTATTAGTACAATTACACATGTACTCAGTCATGTCCAACTCTTTGCGGCCCCATGGACTGTAGCCCACCAGGCTCCTCTTCTGCCCTTGGGATTCTCCAGGCAAAAATTCTCCATGGCTGACATTCTCCAGCCATGTCCTCCTCCAGGGGATCTTCCCAACCCAGAGACTGAACCTGCATCTCTTGCATCTCCTGCATTGGCAGGCGGATTCTTCACCATTGTGCCACCTGGGAAGCCCCAGAATTGTACTCCCTAAATAAAAGGAGAGCCCAATTGCTCCAGCTTACTGCCTTGAGAAAGTTTTCATGTAGCAGGACAGGGAGGAGACCGGTTCAGAGACCAGCAGTCTCTCGGAGCCAAGGAACTAGAGCTGGGAGTCTGGAAAGGCCAAGGCGGCGAGAGTTTGCAGGGAGGACACCAGAGCAGAGAGCGGCACAGACACAGAGCTCTTGAGAGTTGCAGGTCAAGTCTCCAGCTGAGCAGTGATCAGTACATACATGTGGCTTCTTAATTTAATAAACTCGTTACTTTAATACTTTGATCTAAATCTGTTTTAATAAAATCTTGCTAACTTGTTAGCTTCTAAATAAAGTAAAATCATCATTGTTCTTGACAGGGGTACTGGGTGCATAACAGATTTTGTGTCAGTAAAAGGGAATAATCATCAGCCTTAGACTAAAATCCTCATTCTAAACTCACCCAAGCAAAATCAACCCAACAAATGATAGACCAATAAACAAAAAATCTCTAAAGACAGAAGTTCTGAACAACACTATCAATCCACTTAACCTAACTGACATTCATAGAACACTGTATCCAACAACTAAAGAATACATATTCAAAAATACGTAAAAAATAGCACACAATACAGTCACAAAGATAATTCACATGCTGGACTGTAAAATAAAACTCAATAATTTTAAAGGACTCACATCAGAGTATATTCTTATACTCCAATGGATTTAAGCTAGAAATCAATAACAAAAAGATATTAAGATAAACATCAAATATCTGAGAATGAAATAACAGACTTCTAAATAATTCATATAGGTCAAAAATAAAATCACAAGGGAAATTAGAAAATATTTTGAAGTGAATGAAAGTGAAAATACAACATATCCAAATACGTGGAATACAACTAAAACAGCAATTCAAGGGAAACTTACAGCTTTATATGCTTATATTAGAAAAGAAAAATGATCTGAACTCACTGACAAAAGGCTCTACTTCAAGAAGTTATTAACAGAAAAAGAGCAAAGTAAACCAAAAGGAAGAAAATAATAGACAACAAGTATCATCAGAATAGAAAACAGGCAGTAAGGAAAATTAACTAAGTTAAAAGCTGGTTCTTTGAATATACTTGACATCCTTTTATGTGTCTGATAAAGGATTAATATTCAGAATATAAAAGAACTCCAAAAACAACACCAAAAACCCAATTTAAAAATGAGCAAAGGACATGAACAGCCATTTCTCCAAAGAAGACATACAAATGGCCAACAGTACATACACATATGCTCAACATCAAAGATCAACAGAAAAATGTAAATCAAAACCACAATGAGACACCATTCTTACCCATTAGGATGGCAACTGAAAAAAAAGTAAAAACAGAAAATAAGTGCTGACATGGATATGGAGAAACTAGAAATGCTTATGCACTGCTGGTGGGAAGGCAGAATGGTACTACCACTGTGGAACACATTAAGGCAGTTCCTCAAAAAATTAGAAACAGAATTATCATATGATCCAGTAAAGCCACTTCTGGGTATACTCCCAAAAAAAACTGAAAGTAGGGACACTCATGTTTATGTGTGAGTGTATAAACATGTATGTGTTTACACATGTTTATATATACATGTTATACCTGCACACTCATGTTTATAGCAGCATTATTCACTACAGCCAAAAGGTAGAAACATCCCAAATGTGGATGAACAGAAGAACAGATAAATAAAATGTGGCATGTAGGGGGAAGAGGAAATGAGGAGTTACTGTTTAATAGGTAGAATTTCAGTTGGGATGGCAAAATCATTCTGGATATAAATAATGGTGATGATTAGAAAACAATGTGAATGTACTCAGTGCCACTAACATGTACACCTAAAAATGATTAAAGTGGTAAATTTTATGTTTTATATATATATATAGCCACAAAAAAGAAAAAAAGCTACCAAAAATTTTTTTTACAAGACTGGTTCTTTGAAAAATACAACCAAAAAACAAGACCCACACTAGAAAAGAAAGAATACAAATCACCAACAGAGCAATGAAAAGGGTGATCATTTATCATCACAAATTCTATAAACATTAAAAGCATCGAAAAAGAATACTATGAACAACATCATGCAAATAAATTTGACAACTTGGATAAAATGGACAAGTTTCTTGGAAAATACAACTTGCCAAAATTGACATAAGCAAAAGCAGAAAATCTGAAAATCCCTGTGCTCTACTGAAGAACCTGATATTATTACTAAAAACCTTCCCCAAAAGGAAACTCCAGGCCTAGATAATCTCACTGGTGAGTTACATCAAATATTCAAAGATGAATCAACATTAATCCTAAACAACTTTAACAAAGAATGTATATAGACATACAGCAATGAAATGACTCTCAATATTATTAGTCACTAGGGAAATGCAAGCTAAAAACCTCAATAAGATATCACCACACTCATATAGTATAAGTTTATTTATGTGAAATATATGCTTAAGCAATGTAGCAGAAGTTTATGCTCTCTTTTACCTACTGACAGTACACTTTTATAACTTAAGAAATTTCTAGACTTTACCAGTATAGCATAAGTTTATGTATGTTAATGTATGTTAAGTATATGGAGTTTTAATAAAAATTGGTTTAAATTGTTAATTACTATAAAAGTAACAATAAACCACTCCACTGTTAAATTCTAACCTTGATCAAAATGATTGCTTGATTTTTATGACCACCCTTATTCACATTGTCCTTTTACTTACACTAGTTCACATTAACCTTCCAATGTCATCAATGAACATTTTACACCGTACCTTTCTGTGGTACTCCATAGCATCCAGTTCACCTTGATTGAAAGCAACACATCTCTTTCTCTTCTAAAGAGTAAATTACAGGGAAAAAATTTTGTGGCCATCCATCACAATATTGATACCTTGAAATACATTAGTATTTCTTTTTTATTTATCACATTTTCCATACTGTCTATCTCATTCTTTAAGACTTAATAATTAACTACTGAGGTTGAAAGAAGTGCAAAGAGTATGGACTAGGGAGGTAAACTTTCTCAAATAATCATAATTATTATTACTATTACTCCAAACTTAATGGGTGATAAAAGGCCACCTAGGCCTCATCTGCTATTAGAAAGAACTAGAACGATATAATAAAATGCAGCACTGACATCCATAGACACAAGGAAACTGATACTGTAATAAAGAGTCACCAGTGTAACCTATCAGTTGCTATATGGGGTAATTATTCTGAAATTTCTTAATTTCTACACCAAAGAAAAAAAATCTGCAATGTACTTTTAATAGATCTTTATGCATAATCTGAAGATTGGGTACAAATAAGATATATCTGTTCTACATCTAACAACTCCAAAGAACATGTGAGTACAATACACAGCAGGGACTTTCTACTTTTTGTTGCTGAAATCTCAGTGCCTACATGGTTGCAAACTCCTAGCAGGCTAACAACAAAAGTTTGCTGGCTGAATAAATAAATGGAATCTCTATTACTTTCCTTATTATACTTCTCAACATGCTTTCTTATTTGGTATCTTTCTTCCCCACTCAATTATAAGATCCAAAAGGCAGATTATATCTATCTTGTTTCCTTATTCTGTTTGCAACAGCATATAGAAACATTTATTGGTTGAATAATGAATGTAATTTCTATCTCTAATAACAAAAAAAACGTTAATATAATCTATCTGAAATGGACTTGGTATAATTATCTCTGAATTCTTCAAGTACATAAAAAGTATTAATTTTAAAAAATTAATTCATAAAATTAATTAAAGCATAACTAATTTGACCCTAATGGCATTCTCAAAACTTCTGATAACACCAATGTGTATACAAATATAAATACTTTAAGAATATACACATTTTCCATAGTAACTTTCTACTTTTATTACTAGAAATCTTTCAAAAATATTACCCTTCTTCCAAACATTTATTATACCAGTTTATCCCCAAAGGAAAAATCTCTAAAATCCCCCCAAATCCATACACTGCTTTAGAATTTTATAGAGAACGAAACATGTTTTTGAGCAAAAATATATGTAAAAACATGCAATTAATACAGAAACCTAAGCAAACAGGGTTTTGTGTGTGTGTGTGTAGCTTTGTTTGTTAATTTACAAAGCATTCACTTTTGAATCAACTTTGCTTACTTTTGAAATATGCAAATTTGGTTTTCTAAAAATGGTAGAATGTTAGCAAAAAAATTAAAATTACTCTGGATATCCTAAAGCATCACTATGATTTATTGACTATTGACTATTCTTTATAATTAGTAAATCACAAGATATTCGAGACACTGGAATAATACATTTGTGTTCTCTGTAGAAAAATAAAAATTTCTTAAGAGTTATTACCTTGCCATTAACAGAAATGGAGATTTCTTTCTTAACATCATCTACTAGATCTTCCTTTTCATTACTTTCTTGGCACTCTTTGTGACTAGCTGAAGTTATATAAGGTTTGCTGACATCAAACAGTTCAGATCGAAATACGTATTTGTGTATGAACATTTCACAATTTCCTCTATCATCATTCTCTGGCTTATTGGTGGAAGCAACAAATGTAGCAGAGGCTCCAAAAGAGGACACAGAACCCACGTGAAGAGAATCAAGGTGAACACAAGTAGGCTGGCTTTTACGACAGCAAGGCCCATGGTGCTGGTGAGGTTCGTAGCTCATCTTGTTAATGAAAGCGAGGTGATCCAGCAGCCATCCTGGTGACAGCTCATGCACCACAGACATTCTCTCCCTTTAAGACATTCAGATACCTCTTGGAATTAGAGACTACAAGTACAGCCCTAGTTTGACTGGAAGTGAAACTTCCCTGAGAAATTCTTAAATGTCCTGTCTTTCAATAAAAATATACTTCATACACACGTAGATTTTATGTGCAAGTATATAAGCTTGAATATACACAGAAGCGAATTTAAAATTTTTGAGTTGTTAATATGTATAGAACTAATATGTATAGGACTAAGAAAAACTAAAAAACATTGCAATGAAACATTAAAACAATATAAACTTTTTTTAATATTTATTTTTTAAGTAAAGGATAATTAGTTTACAGAGTTTTGCTGTTTTCTGTCAAACCTCAACATGAATCAGCCATAGATATACACATATCCCCTCCCTTTTGAACCTCACTCCCAATTCCCTCCCCATCCCACCCCTCTAGGTTGATACAGAGCCCTTGTTGGAGCTTCCTGAGACATACAGCAAATTCCCTTGACTATCTATTTTACATATGGTGATGTATGTTCCCATGTTACTCTCTCCATACATCTCACCCTCTCTTCCCCACTCCCCATGTCCATAAGTCTATTCTCTATGTCTAAAACAATGTAAACTTTTAACTTCAGGGTTGATAATTCAAAAATTTCAGCCAACTTGACCAAAGAGGGTGAAAACCTGACCTTATTTCTGGAATTCCAATGAGATCCTCCTGTTTCTCGAGCCTCCATACAACCTCCTGCTTGGCACCTGGCTCTAGCCAGTAGGTCTACAGCTATAAGTCATGAAGACACTGAATCCTCAAATGGTGAGTGTCCTGTCAAACCAAAGAATATTGCATTACCTGTGAGAATTCAGCCTGTTAAGTGACATAAGCCTAGAGAAGACCACAGAATTTCCATAGGAGCTGTTACAGTGTCAGCTCGTTTTTAAACCACACTTACTAAAGTAAGCCCCTCCAGCACAACTGCTTTACTAATCACTGCTACCAATGGAGTGCAGAAAGAGTCAAAACAGAGCAAAATGCAATTTTAACAGGCTATCAGAAGCACTAACCCCGAGTAAAACTGCAAGGTAAAGAGTCCGGATCTGCAATTGGTTCTGAGCAGTCCTCTTCCAGCAACTAGGTTTTTTCAGAACTTATCTTTTCCTAAAAGACAGTCTTAGGGAATTCCCTGGTAGTCCAGTGATTAGGACTCTGGGCTTTCACAGAGGCTGGATCCCAGGTTCTCTGTTCCAGTCCCAGTCAGGGAACTAAGATCCCATAGGCCAAATGGCACAGCCAAAAAAAAAAAGACCAAAAAAGGCGTTAAGTTCTGGATTTTCCTTACTAAACATTGTGTAGTGGAGAACTTAAAAGGGGATACAGAATAAGAAATAAAATAAGAAATACATTAAGCCGGTTAATAGCACAGTTAATAACAGTAGCAATGAATATAGACTGAAATTTCTAACACCATTTGCATTAGCATTATGACCATGGACCAGTCATTTGATTTCACTGAGCTTCGATTTTATCATTTTAGGACATCTTAGGGGGCAGTTTAGGGAATTATATGAGGTAACTAACTTTTTTTTTTTTTTTTGAGGTAACTAACTTTAAGTGTTGTATTCGTGTTTCACACAAAGCAATCAAATAACTACTACTGGTGACAGTAATTCTGTTACTGGTTCTCCCTTCAGATTCATCAGGCTTCCCACGTGGCTCAGTGGTAAAGAATACGTCTGCCAAAGGTGACACAGGAGACGGGGATTTTATCCCTGGATCAGAAAGATCCCCTGAAGGAAGAAATGGCAACTCACCCCAGTATTCTTGCCTGGAAAATCCCTTGAGCAGAGGAGCCTGGCGGGCTACAGCCCATGGGGTATCAAGAGTGGAGGCAACTGAGCATCAGAGTCATCACTTGTGGTGAAGCGGTCTTAAAACGGAGAGTGCACGCTAGAAGTGCAGATGGGAAGGCTGAAACTCACACAGGAAAGGTGACTTGCCCTAAAGTATGTGTGGTGACCCTAGGACGAAACAGCAGATAAAACCAAGGAGGGTCTCGAAATGCAGGAACAGAAAAACCAGACCCTTATGGTCCTTCCCTCCCCATGTTCTAACTATTAACGGAACAGTATAACCTGTGTCCCCTCCTACTCCATAGAGAGAAGGTATTTGCCCTACTCTCCCCCCACCCGGTATACATGTCTCATCCAATCAGCAAATGACCCGCAAGACCCCTATTCCACTCCTTGTACCCTGGGGATAAAAGTGGACTAAGGACCCCTGTTCAACGTCGGTTTTCCCTTGAGCTGGCCCGCTGTTCTAACAGCGTCTCCCATTCTAATAAACTTTATTTCCCTCTCATTCTGTCTCAGGTCTGGAAATCCTTTTCCAACCCGCACGCGGACCACGACAGATGGCACAACTGCTACAAGACCCAGGTATCCAGTCCTGGAGCTCTGAGCTCCCGGTCACTCCCACCACTTTTCAGGTTTGGGGCTGTGTTTGCCTCTGAGTTCAAACTCAGGGAAGCGGGTGATGTCCTGTTTTAGCAAAGTAGCTTACTGGGCTCCCCTGCTAGTTCAACCGTAAAGAATCTGCCTACATCAGCAGCGCGACCCTGAGGTCGACTGCGCCCCCATTCCGTCACTAACGCCTACCTCGCCGCCTTCCCAGACTTGCTTCATGAAACAGCACGCGTCTAACCCAGAGATCCTGAACGACACGCTTTTCAGGACAAAGTGGGGGAGGGGTGGTAAATAAAAATTCTTCTTTTTTAAGAGTCGATGGGAGCGGCCATGTTGCTGTACGGAAAAAGAAAAAAAAAAAAAAGCGTTTCCAGGCCTGGAGCCCTCTGCTCGCTACTCAGTGATGTACAGCGCCCCGACGTTCACCGTTAAATTCAAACGTCGGACCTGACTTTGCAGAGGACGCTTACAGTGGCCAGGAAAAGCCAGTGCAGCCGGTGAGGTGGCGGCGCCCCAGCAACACGCAAAACTTCCGGCGACGAGGAGCTGCGCGCGAGAATTGCGTACGAGAGTTGCGCACGAAAATTGCGCACACGCGCTCACGTCCTGCGCGATGACGCACACGCTGGCGGAGATTTTAAAATTCGAAAGGCGGCGGCGGGTGGAAGGCGTTTGTGTTTTGGCGGCTGCTGTCCTGTCCAGCGGGCAGTTGCAGGGTTTACAGCAATTCGCTTCCTGGATCGTGTCGGGAAGCTGGGAGAAAGGTAACTAATGATTTTGGGTGAATTTTGCTCTGGGCAGCGGGAGAGAGAACGCCAGTCGCCAGGTTAGATTCACAAGCCCTGGGAGGCGACGTTTTGGTGTTTGTTGTTGTAACCGACCTCTCGAGCCAGTCGGTACGAGGTGCTAGTTTCCCGGAGTCCAGTAAACTTCCTACGGCAGTGATTTTCCGAGGGAGAAGGGGAGGACTAAGCGGACACTGATGGGAAGAAGAGGGCCTGGAGAGAGGAAAAAGGGAAGAATTCATGACAGCACACAGAGGAAGACAAGATGAGGAACTGTTTGCTGTTTTTGCGTTTGAGCTATTAGTGTAGCATCCCGATTGCCGTGTACGGAGTATATCCAGAAGTATTAATCTCAGATTCTGAGAGTACATTTTAAGTGGAGATTGGGAGGGAACATATAGATGAGAGTGGAAAAGTTTAATAGATATAGAAGTGTATACTGAAGAAGAAATGGGTGTCCACACAAAGAAGGAAAGAGTATATCAGTTTCAAAGACAAAGGAGAGCTTAGAAAAAAGGATAACCACAGATGTCCATTGTCCTGGAAACCAGGGCAGGACCTGGAAAGGTGAGGAGTACAGTGTCTAATGCCTGAAAGACAAGATCCTGTTGCAGAGAAAAGCCAATTCTGACTCTAGTTAGAACTGTTTCTTTGACTTGTTTTCTGTTGCTTTTGTTATTATAATCATATATAATGGCCGACCTCAGAGAATCCTGCCCCTCTGCCTGACTGTTAAAGTGCCTTTGTTCAGAACCCTGTCCACCTGTAAATAACAGGAGGGAAGAAATTAACACGTCCCCTGCCTAAGGCTTGCCATTCTAAGAGATATTCTCAAGATTAATGGCCATTTTACTTTATTTCCTCACCTCCCTGGCATCTCTGATCTATAAAAGAACCTGGCATTTCAGTTAGCTCTTTCAACACCATGTCTCAGATTAATTGGCCTGTCCTGCAGTGATCAGAGTGAGGTTGGACTCAGTAACAATAGGATCCGAAGATTTGTCAGTGAAAGATACCCCAGGAGGTGGAAAGGGAGTGAGATGTGAATGTAGTCTGAGTAAGTGGAAGCGGCCTGTAGGCCAGATAATTTATCCTTGATAAAAGGGAGATTGAATCAAGAGGGCCAGTAATTGAAGAATATAAATGAGAAAGAGAAGGTTAAGGACAGAGCTAAAGAGGATGGACATTAGGAAAAGAAAACAGGATGGTTTCCTTTGAGACCAAAGGAAACATCAGAGGTAGTTGTTGTCAGGTGGCCTGACTTCCCATCGAAATAGGCACAGCCAACAGCGGTGATGTGATCTGAGTTAGGATTCAGGGTTTTAACTACCATAAATTCCCTTGTGAAGAGAAATCATACCTTTTTCACCTTTCTATTGTTTGCACTGCTTTGCACACTCCCTTGTACATGGTAGGCAGTTAGTAAGTATTTTCGTGTGTTGAGTATTTTTAAAGGAAATCAAATAGATAAATATTCCCTGTAAATGAGGACTTCACCTTACATGAACAAGATAACCCAGGAAGGAGCAATGAAACTTGGCTGCCTTTCTGTTTGAGGATGAAGATAATAGTTGAGGTTTAATGTACCATCTACATCTGGAAAGACTTGTTTAATACCAAATTCATGAATGCAGGTCATAAGCATGAAACGCAGTTCAGTTTCCACCGGTGGTGCTGGCCGCCTGTCTATGCAGGAATTAAGATCCCAGGACTTAAATAAACCAGGTCTCCATACCCCTCAAACGTGAGTACCACATGCCTTATTGTCTTGGC